CTCTTGGTGATTCTGTTTTAATCCTTCGAACGGCAATTCTGCGAGCTATTAATTTGATGTAATGGTCATTACTGTGTGAAATACCGCCTGCGCGTGTATCGAGAATGTATTATGCGAAACAGATTCTGTTACAATCTATAATAGCTTGTAAATCTTTATAGTTATACTATAAAGGATGAATCTTTGTAGTTATGCTATGTATTCAAAGTATGGTTACAAATCTGTAACACTCGAAAGCAATAGAATGAAAAAATAATAATCCAAATGGTAGAAAATTTTTATTCTCAATTTAAATAATGTAAATAATAGAAATTTTTTATTCTTACTAATAGAAATACTAATTTAAATGATAGAAATCTTTTTAGGAATGTATTGTACAGTATAGTTACAAATCTGTATAGTAATATTCGAAAGCAATAGAATAAAAATAATAATCCAAATGGTAGAAAATTTTTATTCTCAATCTAAATAATCTAAATAATAGAAATTTTTATTCTTAATAATAGAAATAGTAATCTAAATAATAGAAATCTTTTTTAGGAATGTACTGTACAGTATAGTTACAAATCTGTATAGTAACGCTCGAAAATAATAATTCAAATAGTAGAAAATTTTTATTCTTAATAATAGAAATACTAATCTAAATAATAGAAATCTTTTTAGGAATGTACTGTACAGTATAGTTACAAATCTGTATAGTAACGCTCGAAAATAATAATTCAAATAGTAGAAAATTTTTATTCTTAATAATAGAAATACTAATCTAAATAATAGAAATCTTTTTAGGAATGTACTGTACAGTATAGTTACAAATCTGTATAGTAACGCTCGAAAATAATAATTCAAATAGTAGAAAATTTTTATTCTTAATAATAGAAATACTAATCTAAATAATAGAAATCTTTTTAGGAATGTACTGTACAGTATAGTTACAAATCTGTATAGTAACGCTCGAAAATAATAATTCAAATAGTAGAAAATTTTTATTCTTAATAATAGAAATACTAATCTAAATAATAGAAATTTTTTTATTCTTAATAATAGAAATACTAATTTAAATAACATAAATCTTTTTAGGAACGTATCGTTGTTCTTGTAACTGTGATACAACAGGCCAAAGGGTGAAACAAGTCAAAGTAAAACAAAAGCAAGAAACAGTATATATATATTTTTTTTTTGTCAAAGACTTCGTTTTCGGGAAAATCGAAAAATTTCGGTCGAGAACGAATGATCGACAGGTGGTTGTTACCGGAACTCAATAAACGTGGATTTTTTTTTTTTTTCCTTTCGTAGAACGCTCTGTTTTTAAAAAAATTAAATTTGAATATTGCGGTACACGTGTACCAAGCAAATTCTTAATTAAACTCTGCTCTTCTTCTATTTTTTTTTTTTTTTTTAACGAAATGTTGAATTAAACAGGTGACGTCTACATGTATAGAGATACAATTGTGCGTACTTTGTACAATTTGCATCAGAACGTGTTCTTAATTAATCGAATCGTGAAGATGAACGTTTTTCTCGATTTACTGGCACGTTACGTTGCACCTTCTATCTCTGTTAAATCGATTCATCCCCAAGCTAATTACACCTCGTTACAACTTTATTGCGCCAATAAATCTATATCGGCACAGTTGCGAGATAAAGTGCCTGCACTTTTGAAAATAGAATGTATGTATAGAGAGAGAGAGAGAGAGAGAGATTATTTGCTCTATAAAATCCAATATTCATTCAAAAATTCAAATCTTTATAGAACGAGCTTTCCCCCGAAACGATCGTAAAGCTCGACGATATCAGCTGATTGGGAACCTCTGGTGATCCATTATGGCGATTGATGGCAAACAATCCGTTGAAAAAGAGCAAAACAAATTATCCTTCTCCATTACACGATTGAAAGTAGAAAGAAGATCGAACATTTACAAGATCTCTCGTAAGCGTGATTTGAAAGAAAAGTCTTTCTACCAATTATGACCAAAAAAAAAAAAAAAGAAATTACATACAATTTTTACACAATTACAACCAAAAGAAAAAAAGAAGAAATTTTTAATTTCTTAGCAGGGAGAGACCACGAAATTGCGAGCAATTTAACTGGTGGCTCTTCGTTAAAATTTCTGCCTGAAATATCTTCAAGCGGAAAATTCCGGATTATATGTCTCTCTTTCCTATATTTTTCTTTAATACATACAGTGTTTCTTTTCTCTTCTCTTTTTTTTTTTTTTAATTTTTTTCCTCTCGACCTTTATTCCGACTTTTCCCTCCCGATTCTTTCATTTCCATTTCTTCGTCGTTTCCCACTTTTGCCCCCATCGTTTGCCTCCACTTGTTTATCCCGTTTTCACGTGGACACTGGAGAGAAATGAGAACAACACGTTGAAACTTAGAACGCGTGGCAGCCGCCTCTAACGATGATTTACGTTAACTGTAGCTTTATTTTATTTTCCTTTTTCTTCTCTCCTGTGTTAAATTAAAAATTTGCTCCGAAACCTCGCCTCGCCTCGCCGCGGAATGTTTGCGCCAGAAATGTCTGGGAAAGTTCTCGGCCCGCGGGATAAATTTTTCCTTTAACATTAGAAACTACCGACTTTATGACGAAGCTGTCTCTACCAAGACCAGTCTCTACTAAAATAACTGATCTTTAAAAAAAATATGTAATAATAGATTATTTTTATATATTTATTATATATTTATATATTATTTATTTTATATATTTTATATATAAAATATTTATTAATATTTACATATTTATTTATTTTATATATTTTATATATAAAATATTTATTAATATTTACATATTTATTTATTTTATATATTTTATATATATATTTATATATTATTTATTTTATATATTTTATATATATATTTATATATTATTTATTTTATATATTTTATATATATATTTATATATTTATTTATTTTATATATTTTACATATAAAATATTTATTAATATTTATATATTTATTGATTTATTACTTTCTTACAAATTAGATCCACGTTACGTGGCACATTTTTGGTATTAATTAATTTTGGTATTCATTAATTCATCTGGGACTATGATCCCTAAACGAGGCCTAGCACATTTTATCACTTACACGACAACAAGTACAACATGAAATCAATAACAACAATAAGTATAACAAAATATAATAAAGAACATATGCGTATGGTAACAAAAATATTAATTACTTGTTCGCTCGTTAAAAATTGTAAAATTACGCGAACGATTCCACTTGCTGTCTGGACTCTGGAGCTACAAGATTCACGTGAAATCATTTATGGCTATTGAACTATCATTGAAAGCGCGAGAATACGTCGCACGTGGACCAAACAGTGAACGTACGTGCGAGCTCGAGTCATTCGACATCATTCGCGACTGTGTCAGTTAAAACGTCGATTGATTAAGGAAAATTAAGAGCGACACGAGGTTCGTGTCCCCGAGGGGTGAAAAGGAAAACGATAGATTTGCATATTTCGTTTCGCGACACGAATCGTCCAATTTGCCTCGGCCGCGAATATCGAACGAGATATGGAAATATGCATAACCTTTCGCGTGACCAGCTTTCCATGTTAATGGAAAGTTGAATCTCTCTCCACCCTCTCCCTCTTGATTTCTTTGTTCGTCAAAGATGAGTGGCCGGGCGAAAAAGGAAGAAGAGAACAGTTATCGGGGAGAGGCACTTAGCTGCAAGCGGGGAAAATTAATGAAGGAAGTGAGGAGGCATTTTTCAATTTGCGGGCGAGTGAAGGAAGGGACAATTTTAGCTTGAGTTTACCTCCGTGTCTCCTCCGGGATGGATGCTGTGTAATTTCGCGTTTCCAACCATTTGCAACGTTGTCAATAAGTTACAATACGTTCCGCGCGAACGTGGACGCCGTTTCTCTGAAAGAAACTATTCTTTTCTTTTTGTAAACTATCTTGCACGAGTCGAAATTGTTATTGTCCGCCTCTAAGAATTCTCCTTTACCTTGCACTTCAATTTCTTTGCTACAAAGATATTGTACTGTATTATACTTTACTTTATTACTGTACTATATACTTTATTATATTATGTAATTATGTTGTTTAAATATTATTATTAATACCATTGTTATTTATATTATTTATATTATTATTTCATTTAAATTTTAATTTTCATTTATATTATTATTTAAATATTATTAATATCATTGTGTTTTATATTATTTATATTATTATTTCATTTAAATTTTAATTTTTATTTTTATTTGTATTATTTAAATATTATTATTAATATCATTGTTATTTATGTTGTTTATATTATTATTTTATTTAAATTTTAATTTTTATTTGTATTATTTAAATATTATTATTAATATTAATTGTTATTTATATTATTTATATTATTTCATTTAAATTTTAATTTTTATTTATATTATTATTTTATTTATATTATTAATATCATTGTGTTTTATATTATTTATATTATTATTTCATTTAAATTTTAATTTTAATTTTTATTTGTATTATTTAAATATTATTATTAATATCATTGTTATTTATGTTGTTTATATTATTATTTTATTTAAATTTTAATTTTTATTTGTATTATTTAAATATTATTATTAATATTAATTGTTATTTATATTATTTATATTATTTCATTTAAATTTTAATTTTTATTTATATTATTATTTTATTTATATTATTAATATCATTGTGTTTTATATTATTTATATTATTATTTCATTTAAATTTTAATTTTAATTTTTATTTGTATTATTTAAATATTATTATTAATATCATTGTTATTTATGTTGTTTATATTATTATTTCATTTAAATTTTAATTTTTATTCATATTATTATTTAAATATTATTATTAATATCATTGTTATTTATATTATTTATATTATTATTTCATTTAAATTTTTATTTTTATTTATATTATTTCATTTAAATTTACTAAATTATACTATATTTGTAGCATATATTAGTATATATTATATTATACTTTGGTCTATTAAACGCGATGTAAAATTCGTCGGAAATGAAATTTACAAATCCCCCGCGAGAATTGAGAGTAAAAAATGGACGTTCCCTCTTTGTTTTCACGCAGACAGATTACGACAGGCACCTGGAGGAACTGCTGGAACGTGTGGAGACACTTTTAGCCGGGATTTTAAGGAGGAAGTTGAAAAAAGAGAACTTGGATCAGCTGGCCCGTTACCACGCTCTCCTGGAAAATGTTCGACATTTATCCACGGGTAAGCCTTCTTGTTCATTCATACGAGTCTTTGCAAATTCGAGGCAACGTGAAGTATCTCTTCGTCCTTAATGTGTTTTTCAACAACTTTGGTATACTTACGACGTAGAATTTCAATTCCATTCTATACTATTCTATGAAAAACTGAAGTGTTTGAAAAAATCGTAACGTGTTCATTTTCGATTTTTTTTTTTTCTTATTTTCTTTTTTCGTAGGTTGTAGAGCATCCCTTGATTAAAATGGCTATGTATAATTGATTTTCAATCGAAGCAACGAGTAAACGAAGTAAATAAAATAACAAATAGTTTAAAAGACTATATCTTTCAGTCTTGTCAGTGACCGCCCTATATTTTCAGCGTGTTCCTCCCCGTGTTGAAATCGCGAAAAAACGATTATTCACCCTTTTAATTTACAGTCGGTTTAAAATCGCTGAATAATATAGCGATGGTCTCGAAGTTGTCTCGCGTCACGGTGCCAACTAAGCTGATAAAGCGTAAATTTATTTTCTCGTTACGTCGGTGTACTACCGAGGACGAGGCGGATTTAAGTTTTCCCCTCCCCCGGAGTTGTTCGCGAACTTTTAAACAGTGAACGTCTTTGAAACGTCGCGAGATACACCGAGCTGCACCGCGGTGGAATTAACGCGTTGAATCACAAGTTTTCGTCGCGACGCCTTACCCCGAGATTTAAACTGCCCTTAAGAGGCTCGTTTTTTAACGAGCCTTGGCCGTTATCCTTGAATATTCGCAGCAACGGCCGAGATTAACCACTTGCGCTGGCAACTGATTGCGGACCTTAACGAGTGACCGAACCGTACACAATAATTTGTCGTTGTTTTCTTTTAAACTCGTCGGTATGCTATCACTGGATAAAAATTGTTGAAAAGTAATAAATTTGTCATTTGTTTTGCCTGGGTTATACTTCGATATACATAAAACTGAGAAAATATTGCAATTTTGAGATAAAAAATTCTCAACGTGCTTGGTAGAGGTTAACCACTTGCACTGACAACTGATTACGGACCTTAACGAGTGACCAAACCGTACACAATAATTTGTCGTTGTTTTTTTTTTTAAACTCGTCGGTATGCTATCACTGGATAAAAATTGTTGAAAAGTAATAAATTTGTCATTTGTTTTGCCTGGGTTATACTTCGATATACATAAAACTGGAAAAATATTGCAATTTTGAAATAAAAAATTCTCAACGTGCTTGGTAGAGGTTAACCACTTGCACTGACAACTGATTGCGGACCATAACGAGTGACCGAACCGTATACAACAATTTGTCGCTTTCTTTTTCTTTTGAACTCGTCAGTATGATGTCACTGGATAGAAATTATTGAGAAATAATAAATTTCTTATTTGTTTTACCTGGGTTATACTTCGATATACTTAAAACTGAGAAAATATTGCAATTTTGAGATAAAAAATTCTCAACGTGCGAGATAGAGGTTAACCAGTTGCACTGATAACTGATTGTGGACCTTAACGAGTGACCAAACCGTATACAACAATTCGTCGCTTTCTTTTTCTTTTGAATTCGTCGGCATGATATCAGTGGATAGAAATTGAGCGGTAATAAATTTATTTTTTTTTTTTTTTTTTTGCCTGGGTTATATTTAAATATACTTAAAACTAAGAAAATATTGCAATTTTGGGACAAAAAATTCTCGACGAGGCGTAGAGCAACGTCATTCCAGCGCAAGAGGTTAAGACGCAACAAACGCTGAGAATATTCATTTAGTCAGTAATGAGAACTTCGTCTTTCTAAAACGACCGTTTTGAATAAAAATTTCCAGAGAAATTTTCATCAAAAGAAAAAGAAAAAAGGAAAGAAAATACAGAAACGCAGTGTAAAATTATAATAATTATAATTATATTACATATATTATATATTATATTATAACAATTATAATAATTCTAAATGCAAAAGAACTTTTTGCGGATCGCATTTTCATTGTTTTCACAAGAATGTTTACGAAAGCTTTGTTTATACTTGTCGGAACGATAGTTAATTCGTTTCTAGAAACAAAATCACGGCCCGTTCCCTAAGTAAGGCTCGAGCTCGAGACATTCTTACGATTTGCGATTCTTTTATCCGAATTCAGGGGCCGGAGGAACAATGGAAGCGACCATGTCGACGGAGACGAAGCTGTTCCTGCGTAAAACCAAAGAGCTATCGAGACTGGTGTCAACTATGAAAGAGCTCGAGGTCTCCCGTGAACTCGGGACGGAATTGCTCCAGATCGAGAAAAAACTGGCCGATCTGTCGGTCGCCGTTGAGAAGGACAAATGTCTGAACGCTGGCGGAAAATTCGAGTGGGTTGACAGCGTGTTGGTAAAGGTATAATACTCTTTTTATCTCTCGAATTTCACGAAAAATTTTTCCCTTTTAAAAACTTGCTACCTCTCTGTTGTAAATTAGAAGATTGATCTGATTTTTTAAATAATCGAATAAAGAATCTTCGAACACGAGTCATTTAACCGTTTGGCTTCTAAGTCGGTGTTTTTTATTTTTTTTAAATTTGCTCTCGAGATTCTATTGGCGCCACCATAGGTCTGATTTAAGGTTCGCAGATTATTAAAAAAAAATATATATATATATAGTGAATTCGTCGGATTGAGAAGTAATAAATTTATCATTTATTTTGCCTGGGTTATACTTAGATATATTTAAAATTGAGAAAATATTGCAATTTTGGGACAAAAAATTAGAAGAAGAAGTTAAAAATGAAGCAAGAGAGAACAAGGAGAGAAAAATTGAGAAGAAGTTAAAACGCCAGAGGAAAATTCGATTTTTTCTTTTTTTTTTTTTTCCTACGATCGATCGCCGAGCTGCCAGGTTTCAATGGGAACCGTTTTATGATACAACTGTTCACGTATTTTCGATTCCAGTGTCTGCGAAATGGCACGTGGCTACTACTGGACCAAGTGAACCTCTGTAGTCCAGCAATTTTGGACCGGTTGAATGGTCTGCTGGAGCCGAACGGCGCGTTAACGATCGGCGAGAAGGGAGTCGATGAAGATGGGAACGTGTTTACCGTGAAAGCTCACGGGAATTTCAGGTTGTTCCTCACTATGGACCCTCGCCACGGTGAGATATCCCGGTAAGCGGTTACAGCAAGTTAATTTATGTCTTATTGCCAAGCTGAATTCGATATTCCCGCAATGCAAGAAATATTCTCCAACTGTGAAACTCGATGAGAAGAACAATTTGGGAGATGGGGCATATCCATATATGTATATACAATTTTTTTCAATCCATATAACAGAAATCTCATCAATTTTAGGATCAAATTAGGATTAAATTTTATTGTAACAATTTTTATAACAAAAAATTTTTCTTTAAATTATGATCACGACAAACAAACGAAAATAGCATTCTCCATAAAAAAATTTAAAGCCTCAATTTCCTGAAAAATATTGCAAACGTGAAAGATTGTTCTACTGCTGCTGCGTGGGCCATTTGGTATATCTCTGCCATTTTATAATAACTTTGTATAATAACTCTGTATAATAACGCGAACAGCCGAGAACATTATTGGACCAATAACCGTAGCTTTCGTACAAATTGCCTCTCCATTGACGTTAATACCAAGGCAAATAAAAACTAGAATTATTCATTGATATGAATGGTTCTCTCTCTCTCTCTCTCTTTCTCTCTCAATATCAATATCAATATCAATCTAGATATCAATAAATACGATAAACATTTAATTTCTAAATATATATTTATTTTTTTTTATTTAACAGAAATAATAATATATTTATATATATTTAGATAATTTATTTTCGAGACAATTAAATTATTAAAATAAATTAATTAATCCTGATACAAAAGGTACAAATCTTATTTTACTTATAATTTAAAAAAAAAATTCATTCTCATTACTTTTAACTATAATTTTATCAATTTAAAATTATTACTATAATATCTGAGATCTGTCCATCTACTGTCAATATCTGAAATCTGAGTTCATTCTCATTACTTTTAACTATAAATAATTTTATCAATTTAAAATTATTACTATAATATCTGAGATCTGCCCATCTACTGTCAATATCTGAAATCTGAATTCATTCTCATTACTTTTAACTATAAATAATTTTATTAATTTAAAATTATTACTATAATATCTGAGATCTGCCCATCTACTGTCAATATCTGAAATCTGAATTCTTTCTCATTACTTTTGACTATAAATAATTTTATTAATTTAAAATTATTACTATAATATCTAAGATCTGCCCATCTACTGTCAATATCTGAAATCTGAGTTCTACCCATCTACTCGTCACTTGTATTTGCACTGTCCGATTTTCCAGTTTAAATTTTCCTAAAATTTTCGTTTGTTTCACAGAGCAATGCGAAACAGGGGCGTGGAAATCAGTATTCCAGCGCCTCGACACTTCGTGCCGAGCAACAACTCGCTGGACGTGATGTCTCTGTTGAACAGCTGCGGCATCAGAAGCGTGAACCGTCAGAAATTACTCTTGAAAGTCCACGGTGCCCTCCACGGTGACCAGTACAGGCTGAATGAAATGCTGCAAGTAGCGTTATTCACCAGCCAGCAGACGTCGAAGGGGTTCGCTTTCGAACAGTCGTTGAGAAATTCCTATCGGGAGCTGTGCGGATCGCTCGACGCCAGGTCGAAGCACGAGGCATTGAGAAAGATCGACGAGACTCTGTCGGAGGTTGTCGAAGACGAGAAGCCTGAATCTTTCTACGATTTGGACGCGATGAGCTTGAGAACGTGCGACCTCAGGAGAAACGCGAGGCTCGCGATCGTCAAGCAACAAGGATTCCTTTTGAAATTGTCTTTGGAGAAACTGCTCCGGTAAAGAAAAACTGACAGAGTCTTTCTTTTTTGTTGTTATTCAAGATCATACATTGCATATTTTTATTCTCATAAAAATTGATAAATTCGTTTTCCTCTTATTATTCAGGAGCATGCATTACAATCTTCCTGGAGAGCAATAAATATAAGTAATTAGAAGGTGATAAAATTTGGAAGTGTAATTTATTACTGTGTTATTCTATTTTAACTGAAAGCTCTATTTTATATTTTTGAATCTAGTCTAGTTCTGTTTTTCTCTTATTATTCAGGAGCATGCATTGCAATCTTCCTGAAGAATAATAAATATAAGTACTAAGGACGTGATACAATTTGGAAGTGTAATTTATTACTGTTGATCTATTTTAACTGAAAACTCTATTTTATATTTTATAAAACTCTATTTTATCTTTTTTATATTTTATATTTTATATTATAACTCTGCTTTATTTTTTTATTTTTTATTTCTTATTAAATTAAAGTTGAAAGTGAAAGTGGTGTATTTTAACTGAATCTAGATTCCAGAGAACAATATCTGTTTAATCTATGGATTTGATCTTTTAATCTACTGATTTTGTCCAGTAGTTGGGCGACCATGAGCAGAGAATTCAGATAATCGCTTACGCGTATGTTGCATTTATATTACTAATTATAGCTTGATATTTACTCTTTTATTTATTTGTGGAAATTTTGAGATCGCAGTGGATTATTACATACCAGTGTAAATTTGCATATTCGACGGTCTCTTCTGAAGAGATACAGTAATGCTAAATCTAATTAACAGCTCGAATTTCCTCTTTTATAATAATTTATTCGCCGATAATTGTAATGAACGTATACATTTGGTGTTATATGATGCAATGTAACGATATAATGTCTGAACAAACGCAAAGTGAGATGAAAGCTACAACAACAACGTAAGAAGAACAAAAGAATTTCTCAAGACAGTCCTGAGACACTCATTGGAATAATTCACATAAACTAGAGTTCTTATTGTTTCTTCAGAAAGTTTCAAAAGATGATGGAGGATATTATTTGTCCAAAGATTGAAACTACTTAGGTATCATTAACTGTCATGTGTTATACTTGTCCTAGCAACTTTAATCTTTAAATTTAAATGATATCTCGTGATGATTATACTGTATCATTTATCTTCAATGCTGTTTTCTTTTTATGTGAATGAAATTTGTTAATAAATTGATAGATGTAAAAAATAGTTTTCGAAGGTCAACAAATGAGAGTCTCACTTTCGATGCATTCTCACAAAATTACAGTTACTACAGTCAGTCCGAATTTCAGCTTGCTTCTCCAATCAAAATTTTATCAAATAAACTTGCCCTTCTGTCAGCCTCAGTACGCTTTATATATTTTGTAAAAAATAATCCTGCCAAATGCAATAATCTTGGACGACTGTTGCACTTGAGCAGAGAAAGTATGAAATGGTTCGCGTCATCATTTACGTTAGCAAAGACAATCAGTCATATGAAAATCAATATAGACGAGATGTAACGTACATCTGTATGTAATATCCTTTTGTTGGACTTTCAGCAACGATGATACAGGAGCGCAGAAAATTGATCTCCACGATTTTTTCGATCGACCTCCCATCGCGGACGCAACGACGTTCCTCAGGCAGCTTCTCCTTGACTTTTACGAACGATCGTCCCTGGATGACCTGCAGACACGACGACTCTGGTGTCGGAATATCCTCCAATGGAATAAATTCAACAAGCTGGCAGAGATGAACGAGTGTCTTGGCAAAGAGGTTGGAAATATGGAATTTTTATTCAGGGGCAAGTCAGCTCTCGGGGTCCCGTTGAATCTGATCGAACCTCCCACGTTCTCCAATAATCTGGTTATCGCGCTGTACTTTCGACTGATCAGTCTAGATTGCGACTCAGAGAGGGATCTTCACAGGGACAAAGACGTGATGTATCTGAAAGAATATTCGTCCGCAGTTTGCTCAGGTGAAAGACCAAAACTTGCTTGACAATTAGTTAGTCAATAGGGTAATTTTTTTGTAAATAGGGTAATAGGGTGATTAGTTGTCTGATACCGTGCAAAATTTTATCTTATTGCTAAAATGGTTTTCAAATTATCATTTATAAATGATAATTATAAATTAGATATAATTAATTTTAAATTATTGTCACTGGCAATTTGTTTATTAAATTTGAAGAATTTCTTGTTCCTCTAATTACAATAATTAAAATTATAAATATAAATAATAATGATGATGGTTTAATTAAATAAATATTAATTGATATAAAAATAGTAAAAAAAAATAAAATTAATTGATTGATTTAATGGATTAAAAGAAACTTTGAATAATAATAAATTTATTAAAAAGATTAAAATTACGAATGAGTTTAATTATAATAATAGAATTTAAGAAAAAAATTTTCATTATTTCAAAACATCGTTTAAATAAAATAATAATTAAAATTATAAATATAAATAATATTATTTCTATAAATAATATTATTTCTATTTATAATTTTAATTATTATTTTATTTAAACATCGTTCATTATTTATAAATATAAATAATTATTTATAATAATTAATTAATTAATTATTTATGAATATAAATATTTAATTATTTATAAATATAAATATAAATAATATTTATATTTATAATTTTAATTATTATTTTATTTAAACGTCGTTCATTATTTATAAATATAAATAATAATAATAATAATTTTGGGAATTATAGATAATTAAAAAAATTTTTTTTCAAGTTATATAATTTTGATGTAAACATTAATTTTGTAAATCAAAAATTAATACAATGTGGAGTGTGCCCTCCCAAAGAAATAGGTTGGGAACCACTCCTCTATAAACGATATTAAATATCTCCTGTTTCTTTATTTCAGGAAGATTATCAACCAACTTGAAGAACGAACCGCTGATACTTCAATTCGCAGAAATGGCCGACCACTTTGGAAAAATCATCGAAACGATTCTTCGCGACGAAAATTTGTCAATAAACGATCGAGAGTACGTCGAGTTACGAGACGATTTAAAATGGTACCAAAGATTCCGCCAAATAGGAGAGACCAAATTAATCGACAAGTCACGAGGGGTGTTTCTCGACGTGCGCGAAATTTCCTCGCACCTGAACGTCCACTACAAGTGGCTGACGAAATTTATCAAAAAGCTGCTCGCACTCTCAGGTGCGAGACTGGAGTCGTCGTCAGACTTAGCGGAGAAGTATCTGAACATGGCGATCGACGCTGACAAATATCGAAGGATTCGAAAAAAAATCAAGAAGCTGCTGTTCGTTCCGTCGCCTCATATTTCCGAAAACTCGATGATCTTCCACGAGAGGCTGCGATCCATCTCGAGGAAGCTCGAGATCGTCGAGGAGGATTTAATCGACTCGCTGCGAACGAAATTGAAAGTCGTTTCTGTCAGCTCTCCCGAGAACTTGATCGTTAGGAAAAGTTTGATCGAGATCTGCGTCGAGTGTTTCGAAAGCCAAGAGGCCGACGACACGACGAGAATTGAGGAAATGACTAAAGACGTTTTAGAAGTCAAAGAAATCAGTATTAGACGCGAGGATTTCGTGGAAATTGAAATATGGCCGATTTACGAATTTTTCTTCTTCCTTTTCGCGTATCGCTTCCAGAGGAGGTTCTGCGACGAATTTTCAGACGACTTTAAGGAAGAAACGCGTCGAAATTTTGAGAAGAACTTTGACAAGGGGAACCAAATGTCCGTGAATCTCGTGGACTGTCATGTTGAAACAGCTGAAACAACTGGCGAAAATTTTGGTAGAATTTACAAGGCGAGCGTGTTTAGAAAATTCGAAGACGTCCCAACGATACCACCGCGTTTAATAGGTCTGATAAAAGCTTTGAATGCCAATAAAATTTCAACTAGACGAAGGATCTCTCTGCTCCCAGAATTGCTCTTTTCTGTCGAGGAGTTTGCGGAAAGATCCTTCGCTGTAAAAAACTCGAGTATTCTTCTGCATTGGTACGACAACGAGGAAGACGAAACAGAAGAGAATTTTAATATTTTCCAGGTAATTTTCATTAATCATTTCATTGCGGTAACTCTGAGTATTCTAATCTAACAATTTTTTGTACACACTTTTCAGACGAACTTCATCAACAAATCATCCCTCTACGACCTAATCTTCGAGCTGTTTCTAACAAAATCTGGGAGCAAAAAGGAAATGATCAATTTTGGAAACTACAAGAACCAGAGGAGAGTCTTGCAAACGGTCCAAACGCTCCTATGGAGGAACTCTTTAATTTTAAATTCAGATGAATTCGACATATCCACCAACGACTCGATCCTATTGCAATTTCTCGTTGATTATTACTTGTCCGTCACGAACAAAGTCACAGACACTTTCCCCTTGAAGTTAAACACCGAAGAGCAAAGTAATCTGGAAGATCGTCTCTTCAAGCCGATAAGATTGTTGCAAGAAATCAAAGGGAAGCTAGAAAATGAAAACAACGTGATCGAAAGAGGAAACGGATGGTTGATACTGGGATATCTGCAAATATTTCTCTTCCACGATCTAGGGCCCATTGATCCGGTTCAAAAGATCGCCTTGAAATCGAAATACATACAAGAGAATATTGCCGAATTGGAGCATTTGATGCGCGTTGAAGATTTACAGTCTGTCATTCTTGGAACCTCTTTGTCCAAGGAGCGAAAGGCATCGAGGGCCAATCACTTGAGGACATTGTCCAGTGAAGCGAGAAGCTTTGAGAACATTCGGGCAGTCAGGCCGTCGTCGAGCTTTCAGAATTTAAAAGAAGAGATAGAGAACTTCTCTAGCAACGTGGGCTCCTTTGAATCAATATTTAAACAAATCGGGCAATTGAACGAACTGGCTGAACAACACCTAGAAATGGGATCGCAGGCATCGCACAGAGAGAAATTGCACGAAGCCATAATCTGGAAGAAATCGTTGGAAAGGTTCTCCGGTAAATTGGAGAAGAACTTTCTCGTTGGTTTTCCCGATTTGGTTTCACCAGTGATCTCTGCGGTTTCCAATTTGCATCACGGTTTGTCGATCCTGATTCACGAACTCTCGAACAGAGAGTTTCGAAATTCGAGCAGCGACGTCTGCTACAGTTTGTTACGTTTCCCCGTCGTTGGCTCGTGCCAGGAGAATTACATAAACTTGGCGAGGCTGTGCTCTTCGGAGAAGCTAATTTTCATTCTGACGAAACAACTGAAATCGAATACCGTTCAAAAAGACAGATTTACAATGATCAAAATTGCATTAAAGGAACTTGAAAATTTGTCTCTGGTTAGAAATGATGTGGAATCACTGTGGGAAGAATTGAACGGGATATTTTTCAAAATCAGGATCCTGTGGAAGGAGCAAGAGAAGCAGAGGGAAGAACAGATGAAAGAAAAAGAAAGCTTGTTTAAAATGAAGTCCACGAAAGAAGAAGAGGAGTCGGATTTTAAGAATATGTTCCCAGGCTATCAAGAAGACTTCTTGGAGTTGGCAGAAGTGTTCCCAGATTCCCACCGAGACCTCTCAGAGCTCCAGAAAATTTCAGAGAATATCTCCAGCGACGAAGAATCGTTCGTCGAAGTGATATCCATGAAGGACGCTAGGAAAATTCAGGAAATTCACTGGAACATCTTGAGAAATTGTTCTCCCCGTGATAGCAATTTAAAACGCCCTTCAATGATTGTTTCGAGAAGATCTGGAAACAACTTGGAAAGTTCTGTATCTAATTTGGAACCCAATTTCATTGACCCTTTGATCCAAAGACTGGAATTACTAGGATCCTCAGTGAAAACTTGGCCAGAGAGCTTGTCTTCTCAGCTAGTGTGCTGCTTAAATGTATTAATTTCTAAGAAATGCAACTTCGACAGTGGAAATGATAATGACAGAGAGGTCTATGATTTCTATAAAGATCCAAATGTTCCAGAGATTGAACAATGCCAACCGCTCTTTGATCGACTCTGCGAAAAGATCAGTGAGTTTTTGAAGGAATGGCCTGAAAATCCCATTTTGAATTCAATCAAACTGATCGTCGACAGGCTCTTCAGTTTCTCCATCGATTCCTCGTTGTCTAGATTTTTGGTCGGAGTGGAATTGCTGCTGACAAAAATCAAACAATGGGAAGAGAACGCTCGTCTCGACGTTAGTCTCGCAGAATTTATCGAATCGTTCGGTGAGAAGGTTCTTCGTTGGCGTAAACTTGAGATATCAAGGTGGAAGGACTCGTTGGAAGTACTTGAAGATGACTTGAAAACTTGGGCTTCAAAGTGGTGGTTCTTTTTGTTCAATTTAGTAGATCAGTATCTTGCGGAAGATGTTGAAGCCATTGAAGACTCGAGTAAATCTGATAATGTTTCGAAAGGAAAGATGATCGAAAGTTTAGAACGTTTTTTGGTGGAATCGTCTTTGATTGAGTTTGAAACGAGACTTCAATTGGTCTACCTCTTTTATCAACACATTGACCATCTTGAAGAAACAAAGAGGCAGAAAGAATTGCTAGCCATTTTCTGGAATATTTACTTCTATTACTATCAGTTTCTCGATGATGTTCAAAATAAAATAAAGGCCTTGAAAGAACCTATTGCCAAGAAATTAAAAGACACCATCAAGATCACGAGATGGAACGACATAAGCTATTGGTCTGTGAAGAACACAGCCGAGAAGACGCGCAGAACGTTGCACAAATTCGTCAAGGAATTCCGTAAAGGTTTGGAGCAGAACGTCGCGTCTTATTTGACTCTGAAGACAAAAGTAGTAGAGAGCTTGGAAACAAGTTCCAGGAGAGAGCTCAGACCTTCAGATTTCTTGGTGAGTTTGGAGTCAAGGAGGTTGCAAAAAACGGAGAAACTGGCTGGCAAGGCTCGTCAGTTCTGTGAAAATATCATTGAAAGAAGCGGTTACTCTGAGATTCGACGGGACATTGAAACTTTTGTAGAAGAGAGCCTCGAGGAAAGCAAACGATTGAGAAGCTTGGAAGTCGACAAGACCTTGGCGAAAAGCAAGCAACAAGCTCAATTGAAAAGCTTGCTTCAGCAAAAGAAACTGGCACTGGCAAATTATTTCAAAGCGCTGAGCGGGCTTGGAGTTTCGTACAGAATTGGCATTCTGACCTGGAAAAATAGAAAGAGCGAGATCACCAACTTCACCTCAGTGCCCCTAGACTTGCAAGAAATGCAAAACTTTGAATTCAAAAGCAAGTATGTAAATATAGACAAAGGGCTGTTTGAACAATGGTCCGGTTGTAACAAGTATTATTATGAATCTTTGGTTAAACTGAATTTCCTCGATGGAATATTAAATTCTGGAAAGGGTAATCTGGACATGCAAAACGCTGAACGTTGCCATGGCTTTTCAATTCACCTTGCATTGCTAGCTCATCGTCAAAAGGAGACGATTGCCAACTTTTTCAAACGATTTCTTCCGTTTAGAATTCAAGTGTCAAACCTCGCGCTGATGGTGGAAGACATAATGAAAAACACTTCGAATGACATACCAGAGGATACTACCAAAATTACGGGATCTGGGAAGCTTGATGTTCCTGTGCAAAGAAACTTACAGACTGCCATGAACAATTTGCAGGAGTTGTTAGAAGTGTTGCAAATGTCCATGAAACAGATTGTGATTTTCTTGGAGAGTTATCCGACGGAATCTCTCGCACAGGAGGAGACTCTTCTTGACTTAAATGAAACTGCAGTACCTGTTCTAAGAGAGAGTAACGTTCCAAAAGCTTCAGTAATCTCTATGAAAGGTAGCTTGAACTTGATAAAAAATATGGCAATTAAATTAAATTCATGGATCACAGTTTCAAGGAAAATTGAAAAGTCGGGCCAAGTTTTCTTGTTTCATCAGAAGCACGCTGACTTTTTGCAACTGAGTTACCAAGAAATCAATGAAGTCAAAAAGCAGCTAGTTGACCTCAGATGTTCTTTCACGCTGGATCATCCCATTAGCAAAAATTTGAATTTCTTAATCGAGAAGATTGAAAGTAGCAATGAATTATTCACATCGACAATTGAACAATCTGCGGAATCTGGAGATTCAAGTGAATATAAAGTTAAATTGGACAAATTGGTTACGCAAATTCTGCTTGTCGTTCAAAGGAAACTTCAAGACAGTCAAAAGTTAATTGAAGAAAGGAATGATGCCGAGAGAGAATCGCCTGGAAGTTTTGAAGAGAATCTGATGACGGAGAGATTAATAGAACCTTTGAAGAAAGTTGTTCCAGATTTACGGCTAAACACCATATCAAAAATACTTGGGGAATTATTGCAGATTATTCACGAATGTGATGTCAAGTCTGCAAACGATTGCACAAAGTAAGTTTTATTTATTAACAAACTTGCCAAATTTTTATACTTTTCCTGCAAAATTTCTAATAATTCTTATTGTTTTTCTAGATCACTTTCACAACATCTACCTCTCCTAGAACAGTATACTTTGTTTCTTCATTACTATCTCCATGAGCAAGTGGCATCTTTCCGTCTAACTTGCAAGTTTCTCTACCTTCAGCTGAATGTCTTTCTAGATTTGGCTACAAACGGATTTTGTCAGCCAGAGAACCTGGATACTCCTGAAGATGATCAAGAGGGCGGTGGTACAGCCGAAGGAGGAATGGGATTGGCCGACGGTGAAGGACAGAAAGATGTTTCAGAAAGGATTGAAACGGAGGATCAGTTGGAGGAGGCCAGAAATCCAAACGAAGAGGAGAAGGACAACGAAAGAAAGGATGTAGAAGAGAACGAGAAAGGTATAGAGATGTCGGAAAATTTCGAAGGTCACATGCAGGACCTCGAACAACGCGAGGAAGAAGAAAATGACGAGGAAGACGACGACCTCGACAAAGAAATGGGCGAGACTGACGAGACTGCGGAGAAGCTTGACGAAGAAATTTGGAAAGACGAGGAGGAGGAGGAGGAGGATGAAAATGAAGATAAAGGAAATGAGAAGGAAGAGAGGGGAACTGGTGAAAAAACTGGGCAAGAAGAACTAAGTGCAAAAGACACTGATGAAAATAAAAATAAAGATGAAGACGAAGAGAGAGAGGCAGATGGCGAGAGAAAGGAAAATGAAAGGAAAGAAATCAATGAGTTTGAAGAACCAGAAGTGAACGAAGATCAAGTGGATCCCTATCATGGGCAAAATCAACCGGAGATAGAGCCAGAATCCTTCGAACTTCCAGAAGATGTCAATTTGGATGAAGAAACGAAAGAGGATAATCCCGAGGGCGAGGAAGAAAATCCTTTTGATATTGATCAGATGAAGGAGTCGGCAATCCCAGAAGAAAAAGAAAACGGGTCTGAAAATAAAGAGGAGCCTGAGGAAGATAAACAACGGGATTCTAGCGATGAAGACGTTAATGAAGAAGAAGGAGAGAAAAATGAAAATACAGATGCTGACAAAAGAAGGGATGAGAAAGTTACGGATCCTGAAAAAGATAAAGAGAATGATACAGAAGAGGGAAATATAGAGGAGGAAAATCGAACAGAGGAAGATAAAGCACCGCCTAGTTTCGACGCAGGCAGTAAGGAAATCGATGCTTCTCAAGAAGTCGAATCTCGAAAAGATGGCTCTAGAGATGCAGTAGAGAGTCAGTCAAATGAAGAACAAATGGAGATAGATCCTACAGAAAATAGTGCTGATGACAAGAGAGATACAGGTAATTTCATTGCGTGTCTTAAATTAACTTAACTAATTAAAAGTTATAATTTTATGTATGTTTTCTATTACTGTTTTGTTATTTGTTATAAAGGAACTGGCCAGTCACAAACGGAAGAACGCGAAGGGCATTCTGGATCTAAGCAAGAGGAGAATGTTCCCATCTCTGGCAAGGACAGATCCTCGAAACCTGTTCAGAAACGAAGAAAACCAGGTGAAAGCGACGAAAATCGTAGTTTACTCGACAGTGAAACTCAACCTTCGGCAAAGAAACTAAAAACCGCAATGCAGGATCTAGATAGTCAGGAAGAACGAGAGAGAGATGACGGTGTCGGTGGTGAGAGTGAAACTTACGAGCACATTAAAAATGCAGAAAAATTCGATGATTACGTCTTCGACGCTGCGACCGAGGAGCAGATTAAAAAACAAGCGTCGAATTTGGAAGAAGGTAAATTTCTTTCCACCTTAATTCAAAAGATCTTGCTTCGTTACAACGAATCAAATACCTAGATTCAGTATACTTTTTGCTCTAAGTTCTGATTTAACGTTTAAATTAACTCCACAATTGATATATTTAGACGAGAAGGATCAAATGGACGATCAATTGAAGGACAATGACATTGAAATGCACGAGGAACCAGAATCGAAAAACGAAGAGGAGGAGACGAAGAAGGAACAGTCTCAGAAATTGTCCGAAAACAAAAAAGACAAGTCTGCGAACGCGAGAGGTGAAAAATCGAACGATGTGGAACAAATTGAGACAGGGGGCGAAGTCGAAGGCGAAATGGTGGAAACGAGCCGCGTCTTGCGAGGAAACGAATCCACCATTCACACAAAATTGTCAGAATTAGAGTGTAGTGATCTCCCTGTAGATATCACTCAAAAAAGGTCTGAGATCGAGAGTATGCTAGGTCAGTGGTCTCGAGGGCCATCCTCGATGGAAGCAACAAACGCCTGGAGTTCGATAAGCGCCCTAACCGAGTCAGCTGCCAGGGAATTGTCCGAGAAACTGCGACTGGTGCTTGAACCGACGCTAACGTCCCGATTGAAGGGCTTCTACAGAACTGGCAAGCGCATAAACATGAGAAAAGTGATCCCTTACATAGCCAGTGAATTTCGTAAGGACAAAATTTGGCTGAGACGCACGAAACCCGCGAAACGGGACTATCAGATAGTATTAGCCATCGACGACTCCAGCAGCATGGCCGATAACCGCTCGAAGGAGCTAGCATTCGAATCACTTTCGTTGATCGGCAAAGCTATGACCTATTTGGAGGTGGGTCAGCTTGCTGTTGTTAACTTCGGTGAACGAGTGAACGTTCTTCATCCCTTTGGAGAGAATTTTACGGAGGAGAGCGGCGCCAGGTAATTATAGTTGACGATTAGGTAAATTTGTTATCGTCTCTAGTACTCTTACTAAATCTAACAACTAGCAGTACAACATTATTTATCCAATATTAATTATTAATAATTATTGGTAACCAATATTAAACTAGCTAGCCCTGGTCTTCGGACAATTTAAATGAAACATTTGAACTTTACCAGATTGATTCAAGAAATGAAATTTGACCAGAGGAAGACGATGATCAGCGAACTGCTCGATTTCGCGACAGAGATGTTTGCATGTCAAAGCCATTCCTCCGACAACGCGAAATTAGTAACTATATTATCGGATGGTAGAGGCATATTTTCTGAAGGGACAGAGAGAATCATCGCAGCCGTGAGGAGAGCCAAATTGTTGAATATTTTCCTCGTCTTTATAATAGTCGACAACCCCCTCAACAAGGTAAGCAGTTGGAAAGATTTATAGTTACATGCAACGATACAATGTTTGCGTTGTTCTTTTAGGACTCAATACTCGATATAAGGATGCCAATTTTTGAAGATGGCAGATTACTGGGTATACGTTCTTACATGGACAACTTTCCATTCCCGTTTTATATTATTCTTAGAGATTTGGATACACTGCCTGTTGTGCTGAGCGATGCGCTAAGACAGTGGTTTGAAATTGTAGGTAGAATCGATATATAAAGGCAATTAGTAATATGGATAATTGCTTTTTAAAGATCTTTTTTTAATGTTTTATACCTGTAACGCTCTGTAATGATATTGAATGCAACAAACTTTTACATCAAATTTGCTGTATCTCCTATATCTTTAGCGCTTGAAAAAGAAAAATGTAAACTAATTTATTGTACTGTTGTAAGAAAATTAAATAGGACGTACAAAGAAATTAACTACCTTGGCAATTATTTTTTTACTAATAAAAATTCATATGAAACCCTTCATGGTGAAACCAAAAAATTGAATTCTATAGACTTCAGAGACGAATTTTTGATCTATTCAGGACTCAAACTAAAATTTTCACTCTAAGAAACTACCTCTGTATAATGATATACCAATTTTTTGCATAACTGATTAACTATTTGAAATTAATTAATTTGAGACAATTTGAAAAATCCCTCCTTTCGTATCGTGGCGCCATCTATCGGCGAATTCTTGAAACTAATAAATTGAAGAAACAGTTATTTGAGCATTTTATAGGTGAAAAGGGACATCAAAAGAAAGCTGAGGATCTAATTAAGAAGGTACAATTGCCAAAGTGTGGAAATTGATCGCCTAAATTCGTTTTTTTCGCAATTGAAAATTTCCTCGTTTCACGGACATTGAAACGCTAGCGTCGCGTAGCGGTGAAACGGTGGAACTAATCGCTATTTCTGTCCTTGTCGCACAGTATTGCGCTCCTTGTCTACCGATGGTGCTCCCATCTGAGCCACTCTATTTTCGGTTGGAACTAAAAGGGCAAATTGGAAAAATTCAATAGATGGCAGCACTTGCGTCGCAGACAAAGAGAGCAATAACATGCGACAAAGACAGATATACATGCGCGCGACAGACAAGGAGAGAGATAGCGTGCAACAAGGACAGAGATAGCGGTTAGTTCCACCGTTTCACCGCTACGCGGCGCTACGATTTCAATGTCCGTAAATCAACCAATTTTTTAATTGCAAAAAAAACCAATTAAAGGGCTGAATTCGTGATATTTGATGATTGCACCGTTGAAATCAAACACTCTGCCTTCTTCCTGCATCCTGCTTAATTTAAAAAACCCAAACAAATAGATGAACAAGAATTTACGAATTCCGATCAATGGGTCGAAACGTACCCTACGCTTATCAATCAAAATTATTTCGGGAATATAGTTCTAGGTGTACGTAAAAAATCCTAAGCGCACAGTTTCGAACATAGATTTTTATTCATCAATCAATTTTCTAAATCAATATTTCTCACGCGTTACCGTCATTGTGCCATTGCGCGCGTACGCAATGGTTGTGCTCGCATATGCTCTGTAATCAGTTAAAGTTGTACATCACTCGATTTCTAATTTGCAATTGACCAAAAAATTGATTGCAACATTTAAACAGTTTGCAAATCAGTATGAATTCAATAGTAAGCTGTTGTAAACTGTTGGCTGCAAAACCGAACAATGTACACGTGTTTGGAGGTTATTTGAGCCGCGGTATGGCCAGAACTATCGATGACTATAAGATCAAATGGGTACGACCGGTAAAACTTCCATCGATAGATCCACGACAGAGTGGCGATCTAGGACTGAACGTGTCTGTAAAACCCACTGACTTGAAAGTTCTTTATGATAAATCAAAGGAGTTGCAAGAGTGAGTAATAATTGCACACTACTGCATCATACCATTCTGTACAAAAGCTTTTCTGGAGAGGTCTTGTCTCCTCAAAGAACATAATCTTTAGTTTTGCCATTACCGGTGCAAGATGTAATTCCAAATATTGTAGAACATTAATCATTGTTCAATCATTGACGCAGTGCCGATGAGATTGTAAAGAAAATGTTCACCTTGGAGTTTCAACCGAGGAAGGAAGCCAAAAATCTAGAGAGAGAGAAAGTAATAGCACTTGTGAAGAGGCACATTTGCGATCGAGCTTCAGCAGAGGTCAAAAGTAAGGATCTTTTTATTAAATAAAGCTACCTATCTATGATAGATATGGGAGTATTTAATATTATCTATGTTAATTCAGCTTAATTTATAAAATTTTGTAAACACTTCTAGGTTTCAATTTACTGTATTACAAAGTAAAGAGATACTTTCGATTTAAAGTTGATTATTTGTGACTGAAGCAGTCAACAAAATTACATATTAGTTATTCAAACACAAAAATCTAAATATAATTGGAATAAATTGTTTCAGTTGCTGCAATGACTACTGAAATACAGTATCTTCAAAGGCACATAGCTGAACAACGAAGGAACATAAAGTTCAAAGTGTTTCTGAAAGAACTAATCGACAAAAGAAAGAAGTTTCTTAAATATATGAGAAGATGGGATTACAAGCGGTTTGAATGGATTCTTGAACGTTTGAATCTTATTTATGTACCTCAGCCAAAGTATGATGCCTTTCTTTTACATCTAAAATATATATATATTGCATATCTAAACTTTTAATTATATTTTTTTTAATTGGTTGTAGAATTGCCGGCAAAGTGTCGAGAAAAGATGCACTGAGACGACTGACGAAAGATTATTGCGACGGTATTATTCAGCAAAAATTGGACATATTTAGAGCCCAATTGAAAGAACAGCAAAAGGTATTCTTCGCTCAGAAGGTCAAAAACTTGGAGTACATTTTAGCGGAAGAGAAAAAATATGATTTGAATCCAACTGTGTCTGAAAAAGAGATTGATGTTGCACGGAAGAAAGCGGAAGAATTATTAAAAGAAACTGTATAAATAAATTTTTGTTACAGTCACCTCATCATCTTTCTTACCTGATTCCTTACGCAAAAATTCATCTCTCAAAGAAAGATATTACAATGTAAATATAATTATATTGTGAAATAAATTTTCTTTATTAAATTTGATACAATCGTAAAATCATTTTTATAGAAGAAGATTTATTTTTGATCAAATACTATGTTACTTTACATATGTTTGATGAGAATTTTTATTCTATAACATATTATTAAACAATTTACTTGAAATAAGTAAACGTACGATATTTATAAATGCCTTAGAATATTCTATACGTTTCAATGTATTTTAATTTATTGTAAAATTACAAATATTTTACTACTATTGGATTGATAGTTAAAGCACGTTAGTAACAGGCGATGACGTTCCCACGGTTGCGCATCCCTCGTTGTACCAAGAGAAACCCAAAAAATGTAAGTGAACGTCCGCGTGTATACCGGGTGCTTGAAATAACTTGATTGTGTATGCAGTTGAACAAAGTGTATAAATTAAAATTTTTTAAACGTATCAGTCGCAGTATCTGTGGTTTTTTATTTATCTTGTATCATGTACAAAAAATAAATCAAAAAAATAAGAGAGATTCTAACTTCTTCAATTGAAGTTTTCCTCTTCTGTTTAAATCTTCATTGTTGTTTATATAAAAATAGAAACAATCTAAGAAAATATTCTCATAGATATCGAGTGATTCCAGTGATTCAATTATTGTGTGTCTGCTTAACTTTACTATTAAAAAGGAACTTTAAATAAACATCGTTAACACCCTGTATAAGTCATATATAAAGATGAGCTGGATGCTGATATTCTATTCTGTGAAGAGGCGTCGTGAAAGTTTTATTATATTCCAAGTTTTGTTAAATTCCATTCGTAAGTGTACAAATATCTGCGAGATCTGAAATACGTACAATTAAAATTAATTATTAAGAATATCTCTTTCGTTGAGGAAAGAAAAAAATATAATTTATTGGTAATCTTTAGTTAGAGAAGATTATACCGGAAAAAATTCTGAAATCGTGCACCTCTAAATTTTATCAACATCTTTATACCTCTCGAAACATGCAGTCGCATTTCGTTTTTCCGAAAACGATTATCGACAAGGTTAGTAAAATAAAAATTTGAATGTTTTTGATAAGAAAATAACTAAATATCACAAATTATCGAAATGTTGCGTTATCAACGGCTTAAAAAAAAAAGAGGAACGAGTCGAGTTCCAATGAAACATGTTCTTTTATTTTTTAAAAAGAATAAATTTTATAAATATACCGATCAGTTTTTGTTTCGTGTATCTGCGATTGTTGAAAGTACGATTGCTTAATACGATTATAGCGGTTCGCAATTGGCGAAGAAAGATACGCGTATAAAGTAAATATCGGTTCTCACGTTCGCTCGACTTCTCTCAACTTTTTACTGACGTTCCTTGCAGTGAAGAAACGTTCATACTGTTTTTTCGATTTGTCGGTGATCGGATGTGTTAACTGTGTCGAATTTAGATTATTTTTTAGTTAAAAATTATGCTCGAGAACCGCTGACGTGCGGTTTCAAAGCGGCACTCCTTACGAGCGCGAGGCGCATTGTGCAACGAGGATCTGGCATCACGCATGCGCGGTACATCATTCGATTTTCGAACCGTTGCGCAGCAATTCTGCGCATATTCACATTTTAAAATCATTCCTGAAACAACTGTATATCGTACAAATTAAATATAAGCATCGTATAATGTTATTGATCAAAAAACTAACAATTTTAACAACATATGTACATGTATATTTATTCCGTTTGTTTCTAAAATATAAAAGAACTATATTAAATATGTATATTTTCCTCTTCGTTCACAGATCGTGATTCTGTGCTGTTTTTTAAAGCTGATCATTGCTGGCGTTCTACAACAGTAAGATTACATAATCTATTCTTAATACTTTACGTTGTACCTGTAGTTTAATTAAGATTGAAACTCAGTGAGTCTATATACAAATTTTAGAGTCATTTTTATCGCTATTAATTGGAAAAAACGATTGTTTGGTATTTAGAAGATTCCCTTGCGCGCCAATCGATGCAATTTCTGCGAGTGGCGATGCGGTGCCAGTGACGTGCGCGTTCAAATCAATTGGCGGCAAAGTGGAACCGATACTTCCGACCTACGTGAAAGTTTCTACCCCGATTTCGTACAGGCCGTTGCCGAAAACGTCGTCCTTAGTGTACATTGCCCCGCCGATTTTTAAAACGGCGTCTGCCGTCATTGCGACGGACACGAAGAACGAGAGAGAAGCAGAATTCACGGTAACTTCGAAAGCAGACGTTTCCGTTTCTCTGTTCTAATTTCCATAAGGAGAGATTTTGAACAACTTTAAATAATTATTTTATTCTAAATAATTTTCAGGCCTATCCAAGATATTCGTTTAACTATGGCGTCTTGGACGGATACACCGGCGATTCGAAGTCAGCATGGGAGGAGAGAGACGGTGACACGGTGAAGGGGGAATATTCTGTGGTCGAGGCAGATGGATCGATTCGTACGGTCACTTACACAGCCGATGACCACAATGGCTTTAACGCAGTGGTGACCAGAAACGAGCCTCCGAGGAACGCGCAGCAATATAACAATTTGAAAGCGTTTCTACCGGCGACTATCATTTCCAATCCTCGTCGAAGATGAACCGAATTGCTCTGCCCCTTTGTACAAAATAACAATTTGCGTTCCGTTAAATACTTTGCCTTTTATTATCCACCGAACGGAATAAAGTAAAAATCTACACTTGTATACGTACAGTTAGTTTTCGAATTCTTTATTATTAACAATGCTTTATTTAAATACGGTGTGGTTACAAAAAATATTTTTTTTTCTTTTTCAACCTTTTTCCCTCATATTTTTCTAACAAAATTCCGACCTCTGTACTCGCAATACAGCGTGAATAATTATACCATTTACAAAGGATAGACAAACTTATGTCACGAGGAAACATTCGTTCGAAGATCAAAAATCGATTTTGAAAAATAATCTCTGAATCAAAGTAGATCTGATTATCTAATCTTCATTTCCTTGTGCAAGTGTCAATTTTATTTTCACTACTCAGCTACAATCTCTATTTATATATACACGCTAAAATTCAGTGAAAGAAAACTTTACACATTACAAAAAATAAGACGAAATTTATCAACTGTTCCTAACACAGATCATTAAAAAACTAAGTAAATTACTACTATTGCGTCATTAATGTTAACGGAGTTATACATGAAAAAATATAAATAAATCTTGTGTAATACTTAAACAATGAGATTACAAACGTTTCACCGATCTTAACTTATTGGTAACAGATCTCGTACCTCTCGCGGAACAGAAACGAATTACAAAAAAAGGACAACATCAATCTAAAGACTTCGCTGTTCTACATTTGTCTCTTAAACCTAATAATAAGATACTGTTCGACCAACGCAACGTAACATTTCAACATCGTTCGACCTGAAATTCATCTTTGTACAATGCTGTTGTTCATCGGTTTACAATCGTAATTCTCGTCGAAACAAAAACTGTTAAAATAGGAATCCTATTTCGGAAGGATCGCCAATAACATCCTTCGTTACCCCAAGCATTTATCGTCTAACTAAACCTAACGCTTCTTACAGCGTTAACAATAAGCCTGTAGAGCGTAGTTCGCTCTCCCAGTGTCTGAAAGTTAGTGTTTATCGTACAAAAAAAAAAAAAAAAAAAAAAAAAAAAAATTTTTCCAAAAAAATAAAAAAATTTTCTCTTTTTTTTCCCAAAAAAAAAAAAAAAAAAAAAAAAAAAAA